GGATTTAATTGGTAATGCAGCATAAAGTAGCCTTTTCTGACCTCCAGAAACACAAGAAAATCCAGTTCCTTTCTAGCCTTTAGTAATAAAACAATGGGACATTATAAATAGATGTTTGTAGGGCATACATGAGAAGAAACACATGCACAATTAAATACACAATGAAAAAGAATAGAGTTTGGTCGAATGGATCTTATATGAATTTCACAAAATATTTTGCCTTGAGTTTACTTTTAACTTGGTACTCAATTAAATTGGAGGATTTTTTTTCTTTTTTCATCCAAAGCCATATTTAAATAACCAGTTGCAATCACAATACTTTACCAAACTTGAAAATGTCATTTCCTACACTTTGGGAAAATATGTGTCTCCAGATTCTCTATCCTACTCTGCCCACCTTCCTTTCTCCCTATATCCCACATTAAGACTTAATTCTGAAATTACTCTGAATTTTGGAGAAATGTCCAGATTCTCTTTTACCACATATGTTTTGATTTTCTGAATATTACACACTAATGGGAATCTGCTGTGCATCTGTAGTAAATAAATCTTTGAATTGCTAATTGTTTCAGATTAACCCCATAGATCTTTGGCATAGATCTTTATGGCATTTTCAGCCCACAAATTAGCCTGTTAGTTTCTGGGACTTTAATCATAAACCATACACACATGCATAAGGGTCAGAATGCCTGGTGGATAGGGTGGCGGCAGCATCTATATATTCTGTCGCCTCCGTGGGGGGGCGGGGGAGGCCGCCCTTTATCGCCTCATCTCCCTCTCTCCCCTTGTATGAGTCAGCTTGGGCCGCCATAATGGAATACCACAGAAATGTATTTTCTGGAAGTCTGGAGGTTGGAAGTCTGGAAGTCCATGATGAGGGTGCCAGCAGAGTTGGGTTCTGGTAATAACCTCTCTCCTCAGCTGAAGAGAGAAGCCACCTTCCTGCAGTGTCTTCTCTCTATTTAATACCGTCACATGGGGGTTAAGGTGTCACTGAATGAATTTGAAGGGGAGGGACCCAAGTCACTGCATAACACACCTTAGGGACAATGCCAGTTGTCTCCCATGAGATTCTCCAGATCCTCGCTCCTCTTCTTTCCACAAGCTCCATGCTCAGGGATACTGCTCCCTGTGGGCTCCCAGGTCCTCTGGCTTCGGGGAGAGAGATGGGAGAGAAGGAGAAATAGACTAGGGTCTCAGTATATATGCCCCTGGCCCCCTCCCAGCAAGGCCAACATGGGTTGGTATGTCCCCTAGTCATTTCTCAACTCGTACTAGCCCCTCCGTTTCCAGTTCCAGTGACAGCCCCCTAACTCCCCAGCTTCTTTCTGTCCTAAGGATGTTGGGGTGGTTATTGATCTCCTACTGTCCTTGATGTTTCCCTTCACCGTACCCAGCTGTAAAATAATTCCATCAAATTATCTTTGATAGAGGGATGTCGCTTCTTTCTGGAAAGGACGTTTCCAGGGCAATGGCAACCCACTGTTCTTTCAACCGTTCATTCTGTCAACCCAGCGGATCTCCAGAGGACTCCATGATAATGTCCTAGGTCCTTCACAGTGGTGTCTCTCTGGACGCTGCCATGATAGAATGACTTGTGGTCCTACTTCTGAGGGGGCCCTGGTCAGGTTGGGATTTCTAGGCAGAATTTTGCATCTGAACCTACGTCCTTCTCCCTGAGAATGCTCAGGACCATGCATGAATCCTTTCTTTATCATTTTAATCCTGCCACCAAGTCTGGAAAGAACTTGGAGCCTGGTCTGCTCTTAGGTTCTAAAGGCAAACTTCAATGAAGACACTGGAGCTTTGGCTAAAAACGGTACAGCAACCACCAGCTGCCTTTTTTGCCCCAAAGAAGACTATTGTTGAGGGTTAGGGGCACAGGCTTTAGCTCCAGCTGGATTTTAAGCTCTGGTTCTGGTGTTCATGTGCATTTCTGAGCCCGAGTTTACCCCTCTGCGAAATGATGAGATAGACTTGAATTGTGCAGAATAACGTTTGTACAGTGCTCCGTGCCTAGTAAGTTTCTATAAATGTTAGTCTCTGCTTAATTTTAGTGCACAACGAACCTTCTGTGTTTAAAAGCCCTCTTAATCATAAAGTAAAAATTATCTCTTAAGAATTGGCCCTGTGTTTCCCCTCTTAAGAGGAGAATAAATGTGTTTGTTTCTGTTTATAAAAATCATATGGTCATGGAAGGATTGTATGAAAAAGAAAAAAAAAATCTTTCCTAATCTTACCAAACAGAATTAAGTTCTGTTGTGTTGTCATTTTATGATAGCTGTATGCATATAACTTTATACACATTAACTTCTTTACACGCGCACGCGCAGGCACACAAACATTTTGTTTTTCTGAACTGAGACCATATTATATCATTTTGTATCGTCCATTTGTAATTACATTGTGAACATAAAAGTGCCTTCTGAACATTTTCTTATTAAATATTCTTTTAAAACCAAGTACGTTTTTAAAGATCTTTTCAGTGAATTTTATACATAGGCACCCAGTCATAATTTTGTATAGGTATATATGGGTGATTATGCCAGACATGCTTTTTCATGGTTTTGTGGTTCTTAATCTATTGTCTGTTCCAGTGCTGTTTAAACCAGGAGGGTTTTTGCATTATGTCATGCGTTCTGTTGACCTGCCAGATAGAGCTCCAGTGGGACTGTGCTTTTTGCCAGCAACACAGCCCCTCGGTGTGTGATAGAGAGGGTACATATTGATGAGGAATTGGACCCTTCCTTCTTTGGCTATGATGTTCTGTCTCTGAGGTGAGGATATGAGTCAGTCACCAGAGTTTCTCAATCTGGCCATCCACACCATGGTGAGGAGTAATTCCTTCTAGAGATTTACAAAGCATTGAACAAAATCCTTTGTTGATGATGCCTTAGTGATTTTTGCATCCTTCTGTACATTTCCTGAATATTTTGATGACAAACTGAAGGATGGTAAACCAGACCCAGCTGTCTCGTGGCAATAGCATCCAGAACTTTCTCTCCCTCTCTCTTCACGAGTCTTTCCCATTCCTGTGCGATCATATTGCATTTTTCCACATTGAAAGACAAAAAGAAATCTATGTTCAGGTCAAATCATGTCATAAATATTCTGTTCCTTGAGGTTTCAAGGTCAGAGACAGTTTATCAAGAATATTTCAAATTCTTTGTCCTCTCTCTTTCCTTGGCTCTTTTACCAGAAATTCCAAAACAGCATCCCAAATACTTTCCTTCCACCTGAGACCATAAAATCTAGGGCCTGGAAGCAAAAAAAGGGGTTCAGCCATCACCAGCTAGTGACTTTGGTTCTCACTGTCTAATTACCAAATGATAGATTTGGCCTATGTGTCCTTAAGTGTGACTTCTAGCTTTAAAAAGGTAAAATTTCTGAGGTATTCAGCTCTGGCTATTCAGAGAAATACACTTCACTTTGGCTAACTTCTCTCTTCTGAAGATCTTATCTTATAGAACCAAATAGTCATTATGCTTCACTACATCTATGTTCTACTTTGCTTGTTCTCCTTAATTATTTTATGACCTCAGGAAACTCTGCGAATGGATGCCAGGTTTCGGCATAAAGAATGTAACCCCATCTCCTAGCCTTGTAAGAAAAATTTCACGCATCAGGTCGAAGAAGGTATCCGCCATCAAATATGTTTGGGAAAAAAACATCTGATTGTGCCTCCCATAGAGTTTTGCAATGAACAACCCCTTATTGAGTTCTACAGTAGAGGAATCTGTTTCATTTTGCTTAGAGTTTCCCAAACCTACTTAATCTTGAAATTCTTTTATTTCTGGTAGCATCCATTAACATCCTTCATAATTAGAGTCTATGCCATACAAATGTGGGGACACAGCTCTGGAAGGCACATCACCCCTAATTCTGCTCCTCACCAATGAGGTGACTTAAGAATAAATCACAGAACCTCTCCATACCTCATGTTGCTCATATGTCAACTGAGGGAGCAGAAGAGCACCACTTCATGTGAGAGTTATAGCACTAGTAAAGGTCTGCAGTAATTACAGCTAATGATGTTCCAGCTCTGGGGTCTGGCTGTGTGGGTTCAAATTTTGTCCTTCCACTCCCTAGCTATGTGACCATGGGAACATTTCTTAATTTCTGTAGCTCAATTCTTCATCTGTATAATGGGGACAAAAATTATACCATTCCCACAGGGTTGTTGGAAGAGTTCAGTCTGATTCACATAAAACAATTATAATTGCGCCTGGTCCACGGTGGGTACCTAATGAATGTTAGCCCTCCTGTTGTCGTCATTACTGTCTCGTGGCTTCTATGACTGTGACATATGAAAAGGATTATTTTAGGTTTTTTTATTGGGATATAATTGACATATAACATATTCATTTCAAGTGTACAAAATAATGCTTTGATATTTGTATATATTGGGAAATGAGTACCACAGTGGGTCTAGGTAACATCCATCACCATGCATAGTTACATTTTTTTTTTCTAGTGATGAGAGCTTTTAAGATCTATTCTCTTAGCAACTTTCAAATAAACAATGCAGGATTATTAACTATAGTCACCAGGCTGTACATCACATCCAGATTATTTTAGTTTCTAAAAACAACTCCTCTTGGGGCGCCTGGGTGGCTGAGTCAGTTAAGCGTCCGACTCTTGATTTCAGCTCAGGTCATGATCTCAGGGTCGTGAGGTGGAGCCTGGGGTCGGGCTCTGCACTCAGCACGGAGTCTACTTAAGACTCTGTCTCTCTCCCTCTCCTTCTGCCTCACCACCCCGACCCCCCGCTCGTGCTCTCTCTCTCTCTATAAATAAATGAATGAATGAATGAATGAATGAATGAATGAATGCATGCAACTCTTCTTACCTCAGAAAACAGCTTACATCCGGCATGTTACTAAAACAGCATCACACCCCTCCCGCAAATATTTGATGTGCCCTGTTGCTATTGATCTTCTCTGCATCTAGAGTCTGTGATCTGTGTCTTCTCTCATTTAACTTTTTCTGTTTGTGAACAGGGGCGGAGAGGCCTCGGCTCTGTTTTTGTCTGGGCCTCGGGAAACGGTGGAAGGAGCAAAGACCACTGTTCCTGTGATGGCTACACCAACAGCATCTACACCATCTCCATCAGCAGCACAGCTGAGAGTGGGAAGAAGCCTTGGTACCTGGAAGAGTGTTCATCCACACTGGCCACCACCTACAGCAGCGGAGAGTCGTACGATAAGAAAATAGTATGTAACACTTGAGTGTCACGATTTATTCATTTATCTTTCCCTATGAAAGACAAAGGAAGAACCATAAACATGCACAAAGAATATACGGAAATAGACAAGTAATATACGGAAGTTAGCTGTTTGCTCAATCACAAGTATTTGTAAATGTTGTCATTCTATTATTAATTCATCAGATTTGCTTATCCGGGTCATTACATTCCAGCATTGGATGTGGTCGTAGACATGAGTAAGTTTTGGTTTGGTTGAAGACAGATGAATGGTCCACATTCACCTTGTGAGTTAGAGGCAGAAGAGAGACAAGCTCTGACTCTCAGCCCAGTTTCCTTGTCACCCTGTCTCCATACCACCTTCAAAACTTACCTTCCGTGCGTTGGTTTCAAAGTGCTTACGGCTAACTCAGTGTGAGCTAACCCTGTCAAAAGGCACTTTCCTACTGCTGAGGCACCAGCTTGCCTGAATGAAAAGCAGAGAAGTCCTGTGTGACCTGCTTACCCACACGCCCTACTCTCTCTTCACACAGCAAACTGAGGAAGAGTTCGGGTTGCAGGCCCGGCTTGCATGGGTTTTGTTGACTGTTGAGCTATCTGTTATAAGCTGCGTAACTTTAGACCCGTTACTTAATTTTTCTGTCTCAACATCCTTATCTGTAAAATGTGAGCATTTAGGATCACATAGCTTATGGAGTTACCACAGAAATGATGACGAAGTAAATAAAAAGTGCTTTGCACATTGCTTGACCCCTCAAGGAAGGTTCTGGCTTTGGGGATGCCCAGCGCTGTGCCTCTGATGTGAAATTTCAAACACCTTTGCACTTTTTTCTTGATCATAGTTTTATAAACTGTCTCAGGATTTGTCTTTCTAAAGTGAAGCCAAGCGGCTTTCCTTGATACTTTTTAGCCTGTGGCTAAGACCCTGCTCCCAGGTCTTAGAGGTTTATGCAAATTTGGGTCACATCTGACTTTTACACAGTGGTGGAAATACAGGTGATAAGATACTCCTCCCGTCATGTAGCGCTTTATCCACATCCATCTGGTTCTTCTTGATTCCTGGTTATTACGTAATTGTCATGTGTGACTTCTCAGCTACTTTTTACTAACTTCTTTAGTTACATTTTCCAGGTTGATTTAAATAAATTAAATTGCCTACCCATATACCCTATCCTTCCCTAATTCCTTCACAATAACTAGATTAAAAAAATATATGTGTGAACCCACCTTTAAGTACCTCTGTCATTCATCAGTAAACATAACCCTGCAATTCAAAGTAAAATATCAAAGGAGAAAATACAGAGATGACAAGTTTCACCATTTCCTGGCTTCCTTAATGGGAAAGTGATGTTCCGTGATATTTTACCTTCATTATGAAAATGTTATAATCTAGGAGTACCCCTTATGCTCTCAGATTTGCTTGTCTCTCAGTACTCAGGGTCACGGTCCTCGAAGACTGAGTGGCATCTGTCAGTTCTGCACCATAAAAATCCCAGTGGAACTCTCTGGAATAAGAGTTCTCTTTCTATACCTCTCAGGTCTGAAGGCAAACTTGCCATTGCTTCAAAGTGAATATGCCCATCAAGACTCCTGTTTTTGCCTGTGGGATGGTTGCCATGGGGAGGGTATTGTGAAGTTCCATAAATGCCTTTCTTAAGAGAAAGGTATAATCCAGTGGGCAGAATCTCAAAGGAGAAGGAAGGGTTTTCTGGGTCCTGGATGGGAGAATGCAATAGGGACAGAGGGACCTCAAAATCCGTATGTGAGATTTACTCCCTAGACTTGACCTTCCTGGGCCCTCATCATGTTGTGATGCCATGATAGAGCTGCTGTGACTGCCCCCCACCCCCCGCCCCGCCATGAAAGGTGGTCATTTAGGATTCTCCCAGGGATGGACGGAATGATCCAGTCACTGGGTGAATCCAGTCAGTCAGACTTCACTTTCTCCCTGCTTGCTACTTCTGACACCAAAACCTTTCCTGACTCACTTTATATATTAAACTTGTTTCTACCTTCTGTTTGATCTCTTTCTCCTATTTTCATCACAGCAATTTATTAGTAATTTTTCTCCATCCGGTTCTTCGAATCTCTTGATTTTGCGTGAATCTCCAGATCACCATAAATTGGAGAGGAAATTTAGTAGCTCTTTCAAGCTAGAGTTTCTAGCTTCAGACAGATCACTCAGTGGCTCAGTGACCCTCAGAGAGTCTTGGTTACGCCATCTGTAAAATGCAGGTAAAACCCTCGCTGGCCTCAGATTTTTGGTGAAGATGAGATGCTGAACGTAAGGGACTCTTAGCACACTGGCACGACAAGCTGCTCAGGAGTGACCAGTACCACTGTTCCCTAAGACGGTGTAGCATTGTGCATCCTGGGAGGCAAAGCTGACCGTTTTTCCAACTATTGTTAATAGGGGCTCTTGTTGTACCTCCATTTTTCCCATCTACAAAATACTGCCATCTGTACCACCTACCCCATAGAGAGAGGCTCTTTGATCGTGAACATGTTAGTGGTTTGAACATGAGTAGAGTTGGCAATGACATCAGCCTTTTATGGTCCAGCGGACCCCTTTTCCTTCTAGATCTCAGAATGACAAATAATCCTGCATCGTGCCTGGGACCTTTTCTTCACCAGGCTTTGAACCAGCTGCCCTTGGTGCCTCGGAGATGCCCGCTTCCTGGCGGTGGCATTGTGATTGAGTGTTGCAGGAATGGTGGTGTCTGTCTCCCTTTGTTCTGGGGCTCTCCTCCCCGGGCCATCCATTTCCTTGTGCCATTGGCAGCTTCTTCAGGAGAGCACAGTTGTCGTGTCTTATTTGCGTAGAGCACCTTTGTGATTTAACCCAGGCGCATGCCGAGGATTCAGAAGAGAGGAAAGATCCCTCTGCTTCTGGAAAAGCACTTCTGTGGAATAAATTTTACTCATCCTGAACAGAATGTCTTGTCATGGTAGGCAAGCAGGAAAACCTTTTCCTGGGTTTCAGAACAGCCAGATCTCTGTCTCTTGGTTTCCTGCCCCTGCTATTAGTACAGTTGCAGACGTTGGTATTTCATTCATGCTTTAACAGATTCAGATCAGTAATGGCCTTATATCTCTTTACGAGTGAAGCATCCAAAATATCAAGATTACTACAATAAGAAGCTCCCCTGTAAGCTAAATAGAAATCATTTGAAATGACTGGCTATTATAAAGCCATATGATCAAATAATATGTTTTGATTGATAATAATGCATACATCGTATTCCATGTCAAATATCTCCTACATTCACGGTTATCCTAACATAGTGCCAGGCACTGGGCTGTGCACATTAAATGCATCATCTCATAGTATCCTCAAAACTCTACCCAGGACGACCAGGCACTGTCCTCACTTTACAGATGAGGAAACTATAGAGTGCTTGGAGGAAACATAGGCAGTAAGCGGTAGAGCCTGGATTTCCACCAAAGTCAGGATGGATGCCCAAGCCTGTCTTGTAACCAGTATGCAGTCGTGTTCTGGGTACTTTCAAAAGACATCCATTCTGGAGGCGTCTGACAGAATGGTGCTGCTCTTACCCTTTTGGGGTTCTTTTCGCAGTGATAATATATATATATATATATATATACACATATACGCATACACATGCAAATATATATTATTTTTCACTACCTGGCGGATTTATTTTAATTTTCAGGCCATAAGACCTTCTGCTAATCCCCCAAGACCATCAATCCTGTTACAGAAACCTAAGGCTCTTTGCCAGTCTGGGTTGCTGGGCCCTGTGGCACAGTATCAGCGCTGAGCTCCTCCTCCAGGTTATGACTTTTGTGTGACGTTCAAGCTACGGCTCTCTGTCTTGTGACAAGTGTCGTCTGTTAAGGCACTGTTCCCCCAGATAGCACTTGCACTTAATTTATGCCTCTTCTTGAGCATCACCTCAAGGAGGATTTTCTTTCTCACCTCCCTTAAAATCTCACCTCCCACACTCTTTTTTTTTTTTTTTTTAAGATTTTATTTATTTATTTATTTGACAGAGAGAGAGCACAAGCAGGGGGAGTGGCAGGCGGAGAGGGAGAAGCAGGCTCTCCGAGGAGCAGAGAGCCTGATGTGGGGCTCGATCCCATGACCCGGGGATCATGACCTGAGCCAAAGGCAGACGCTTAACTGACTGAGCCACCCAGGCGCCCCTCCCCCACTCTTTATTCAGTTTTCTTCCTCCTGTTCTCAGAGCGACTTAGTACATTGCACGTTTTCTTGCTGTCTGTTTTGGAAGAAACAGATTGGAAACTGTTTTTCAGAAACTAGATCGGAAACTACGTGAGGTTGAAGACTTTGCCTTGTTCCTTCCCAGAGCCTGAGCTGAGTAAATATTCATGCATAAATCACGATCAGACATTGGGAAGGATGGGAGCTTCAGGAGTTGTTTATATGCCTACAGGAAGACAGGGAGATGCTCTGTTTCTTTAAGAGAAACTCCTTCTTCTGGTAGGTTGGTGAAAGGCAAAGGGTATTTGACAGTAAAATATTTGACATATGAAATGGCCCACAGGAATCTTGCTACGTGATAAAGCTGTACCTACAACCTTTCTTCGTGTCGAAGAGCATTAAAGATCCCCTTTGTAACCCTTCGCTGTCTCCTGAAATTTCTCCCCAGTTGTGTTTGGGGAATAAAGCTTCCCTCTCTCCGCAGCTCCTCCCATCATTAAATTATCTCTTTCTTTGGGGACTAGTTCAACCTTTGCCCTCTTTCCTCTAGCAATTTGTCTTAGAGATTGGAATATGGTGGTGATCATATTCCTCCTGGGAGGGGTCTTGCGAGCCAAACGTTGAGAATATATGCTCTGCTCAGCCCTCTCCTGACGTCATGTTACTTATTTGTGTTCAAAACAAACTTGCCACCTGGGGTATCTCAGGCTTGGACTGAGCGACCAATTCCATGTGGAGGAATTGTCTTAGTGCTTTCAATGTTCCTAAGCAGCTACGCATTTTCTTATTTTGCAGAAACATCCTGCTTCCCAGTCCAGCCCTCC